CAGACCCCTTCACATATGGCACTAGAGCTCACACTCCAATCTCCCTCTTGCAGCCCACATACACACATATGGGCAGTTTTTTAGGTTTGAAGTATAACTAAAGGAAAACTTTTTTTTTTTTTTTTTTAGTTTTGAAGAGGGATTAGAACCCCTGCCAGGTTTTTATTGCAGTCTGTGTCCTGGTTAGGGAGGCTCATCCTCTCTATTTGTCCTGTTTACCATTGAAAGTGAAAGAAGATCCCAAATTTTGGGTTGTCACCGGAACAGAAACAGAGGGGAAATCTTCCAATGGGGACTCTGGTTCTGACAACCAGGGATTTCTTCTCAGTCTCCATTCACACCTATGCAGTTTGCGTTTTGTCTGTTTTGCAGTGCTTTTTTCTTTCTACCCGCGTTGTTATGCGTTTTTACCTCGTTTTGCATTTTGTTCAGCCCTTTTTATTTTTTTTTTTTGTTAACAGTGGAATTTTTTTGGTTGCTTGGCAAAATAAAAACGCAAAAACGCGGCAAAAGGGTGGCAAAAAATGTACTACCATGCAGGGGCGGACTGACAACTCATGGGGCCCCCGGGCAATAGGGGATCATGGGGGCCCGTGTGTCCTTGCCCAACCTCAAAAAAGCCTATGAAAAAGGTACCAGGGGCATCTCATGGGGCCCCCTACTGACCCCGGGCCCTCGGGCAGTGCCCGAGTTTCCAAATGGTCAGTCCGCCCCTGGTCGAATCACATCAGAGGATAATGTGTTTGATAAATAACCATCAATATAACCAGCTAGCCATAGATGCGTGATCAGAAGATCCAATCGTGAATTAAATGTACATGATCGATCAGGCCGGGCATTTATGCACCTCTATAGTGGCCATACACTCTTCGATGAATTCTTTTTGGATCAAACTCTGCCGACACAGGGAAAAAGATTTCGATCGCGTCTCTATTTTCACCATGCATCTCATCATTTGATTGATTGGAAAATGATAAAATTCATGACCAAAGTTTCTCAATGCTGCTGCTCAATACAAAAAATGATTAATAATTTTCCACCTTGGTCGATCTACTGATCAAAAGGGAATTCATGTCCAGGGGCGAATTGACCATTCAAGCACTCGGGCACTGAATGAGGGCCCAGGGTCAGTAGGGGGCCCCATGAGATGCTAAGAAAGTTATTAAAGAGGTTATTAAATACATTAACGTGTCACCCAATGTATGGTCTCCATTCAGTAGCCAAAAGAGGCATACAAAAAAGGAGGGTTGTGAAACGAGATTCACAGAAAAGCGGCTACATAATGAACAGAACGTGACACTAAGGGAATAATTTCCAAAAATTATGCTTTATTACACACAAATGAATATGACATATGGGCATTTGCCCTGGTTTACCATCACCTCAGTATGAGACAATACACACAGACCTAAAACCATTTAAAATGACACAAAAACCGGTCTAAATGTATGTGTAGCAGGGAAAATGGCTACATGAGTCTAGTGTCCCTGCAACACAAACACACAGGTGAACACTTCCCTAGGGAGGTGTATCCAAAAATTATGCCATGGGCATACCATAATAGAGGATATAAGGGATTAAACAGTAACCATAATGGCAAATCCCTATCAAAAAATCCAAAAAATTATGCTGTAAATATATATCTCACATGTATGCAATGGAGCAAGCACAATATGCGTCAAAAAGGAGAGTAGCAGGCCTCAGGCCTGTATGAAGGAAGACATAAATGTCAAATATATTGTACAATACATTCCTGTGCCGGCACAAGTGGTTGGGGCCCATTCATCTGTAATATAGATAGCTGTTTCCTAGAGCTCTTGGATGGGAATATGCCCCATTTATTTCCAGGATGGAAGAAAAGATGCACACAGCAGCACTCTGCTTGAAATGGTTTCTTCACCACTACATGTGGACTATACACCACTTTTTGTAGGAAAAAACAAGACACATCCCAAAGACTCTTCTGCCTGTTGAAATATATATGGTATATCTTGTTTCCTATACAAAGCACCATGATGTCCCCATCCTGTAGTGAAACAAACAATATGTGGGAAGTCACTGACAGAGCTAACACTCTATAGAAGATATATAGGTCATATAGATCACAGAGGACCATATATCTAATGTCCTGCAACAATCCACTCACCACCTGTGCTATGGATAACGGGAATGAAAGAGAAATCCTTCATAGGTACTGCCATACAGGGCCAAGGCGGTCAAGGAACCACCGCTGACATCCGCCGATATACCGCGTATCTGACGTATGACGTCATACGTCAGATACGTCACTTCCGGTCATGCGCACTAGGTGGAACGCACGCTGACCCATAAGGAGGAAGCCATCTTTACAAGCCATGAGGCAAGCCTAAGCAGCACAAGCGCCGAGAAGGGGCTGGAACCCGCGGTATATCGGCGGATGTCAGCGGTGGTTCCTTGGCCGCCTTGGCCCTGTATGGCAGTACCTATGAAGGATTTCTCTTTCATTCCCGTTATCCATAGCACAGGTGGTGAGTGGATTGTTGCAGGACATTAGATATATGGTCCTCTGTGATCTATATGACCTATATATCTTCTATAGAGTGTGAGCTCTGTCAGTGACTTCCCACATATTGTTTGTTTCACTACAGGATGGGGACATCATGGTGCTTTGTATAGGAAACAAGATATACCATATATATTTCAACAGGCAGAAGAGTCTTTGGGATGTGTCTTGTTTTTTCCTACAAAAAGTGGTGTATAGTCCACATGTAGTGGTGAAGAAACCATTTCAAGCAGAGTGCTGCTGTGTGCATCTTTTCTTCCATCCTGGAAATAAATGGGGCATATTCCCATCCAAGAGCTCTAGGAAACAGCTATCTATATTACAGATGAATGGGCCCCAACCACTTGTGCCGGCACAGGAATGTATTGTACAATATATTTGACATTTATATCTTCCTTCATACAGGCCTGAGGCCTGCTACTCTCCTTTTTGACGCATATTGTGCTTGCTCCATTGCATACATGTGAGATATATATTTACAGCATAATTTTTTGGATTTTTTGATAGGGATTTGCCATTATGGTTACTGTTTAATCCCTTATATCCTCTATTATGGTATGCCCATGGCATAATTTTTGGATACACCTCCCTAGGGAAGTGTTCACCTGTGTGTTTGTGTTGCAGGGACACTAGACTCATGTAGCCATTTTCCCTGCTACACATACATTTAGACCGGTTTTTGTGTCATTTTAAATGGTTTTAGGTCTGTGTGTATTGTCTCATACTGAGGTGATGGTAAACCAGGGCAAATGCCCATATGTCATATTCATTTGTGTGTAATAAAGCATAATTTTTGGAAATTATTCCCTTAGTGTCACGTTCTGTTCATTATGTAGCCGCTTTTCTGTGAATCTCTTTTCACAACCCTCCTTTTTTGTAGGCCCCATGAGATGCCCCTGCTTGGCAAAATAAAAATGCAAAAAGGCGGCAAAAAGGTAGCAAAAAATACACTACCATGCAGGGGCAGACTGACAACTCATGGGGCCCCCGGGCAATAGGGGATCATGGGGCCCCTGTGTCCTTGCCCAACCTCAAAAAAGCCTATGAAAAAGGTACCAGGGGCATCTCATGGGGCCCCCTACTGACCCCGGGCCCTCGGGCAGCGCCCGAGTTTCCAAATGGTCAGTCCACCCCTGTTACCATCCATTTCAGCAGCTACTCTATTGTAGCAAAAAAAGCTGCTTTTTGCTTTTAAAAAAGTCCTTGACCGTTTCCAAAAACGCAGCAGCTCAAAAAAGCCTAGATGTGAACATCAACAATACATCTAATAGACGGCACCACTGGACATATATAGGGGGCTAGCCTCAAAACGAAAGGGAAAAAAAACAAACAGGAGGGAAGCACCTGTCTCCTCTCTGGAAACCCAAAGCAATATACTAAATGAAAACTTTCACTGTCCAATTGGCAGGTTGGGAATAGATGACACCATTGTACCTTTTCTACAACTGTAACAGGTATCATCCACCTTTCTATGCTGTGTGACAGAGCAGTGTAAATCTCAGGACTGCGTGGACAGAAATACACATACATTGGCAGGTAAAACAACTCCCTTATATGTATTTCATATGTAAATGTGTGTGCCTGGAGTTAAGCTTTAACCTGCCAGTACAGTGATTGATTGGGAAAAAGCCCACCCTGATGCAGGGAGAAAGAGTGTCCCTGGTGGGAGCAGAGCCCAAACACCCCTGTGCTGCAAATCCAAAGAGCTGAGTACACAGTTAACCCCTCAAGCACTGGAGGGGTTATAATACAAGTCTTCTGATGGACTGAATACCTCCTATGAATACATCTACAATGCGGCTGCTAAATATCTCGGCTGTTATATTGATCAGGCAGTGCATTAGCCAACAGAAAATGGGTCACATATAATAGCGGCACGTAGGTTGTAGTGTGTGGATGTCAGCTCTGACGTATATTGCTTTCATTTTAGTTTACAGTGCATTTTCCTTGTGTTAATCCTCACTGGAAAAGCTGATCAGGACTCAAGTTTTGCTTGAGATAATGTGCTTGTGAATAAAATATAATGAGCACCCATAGAGGATCCTATAATAATACATCCCTCCGGATATCTGGGTCAGACAGTCGTCAACTCATGATAATGGGAAGAATGCTCCTCACGTTGGTGGTCAGAGGAAAGAATGCTCCTCACATTGGTGGTCAGAGGGAAGAATGCTCCTCACATTGGTGGTCAGAGGGAAGAATGCTCCTCACATTGGTGGTCAGTGGTGAGAATGCTCCTCACATTGGTGGTCAGAGGGAAGAATGCTCCTCACATTGGTGGTCAGAGGAAAGAATGCTCCTCACATTGGTGGTCAGTTGGAAGAATGCTCCTCACATTGGTGGTCAGAGGGAAGAATGCTCCTCACATTGGTGGTCAGAGGGAAGAATGCTCCTCACATTGGTGGTCAGAGGGAGAATGCTCCTCACATTGGTGGTCAGAGGGAAGAATGCTCCTCACATTGGTGGTCAGAGGGAAGAATGCTCCTCACATTGGTGGTCAGTTGGAAGAATGCTCCTTACATTGGCGATCACAGGGAAGAATTCTCCTTACATTAGTGGTCAGTGGAACGAATGTCCCTTCCATTGGTGGTAAATGGGAAGAATGTCCAATATGTTGGTATTCAGTGGGAAGACTGTCCCTAACATAGGTTTTCAGTAGGAATAATGCCACTTACATTGTTAGTCAGTGGGATTCATGTTCCCTTACATTATTGATCAGTGGGAAGAATGTCCCTTACATTGGTGGTCAGTGAGAAGAAAGCTCCTTACATTGGTGGCCATTGAAAAGAATGCTCCATACATTGGGGGTCAGTGGAAAGAATGTCCCTCACATTGGTGGTCAGTGGGATTCATGTTCACTTACATTATTGATCAGTGGGAAGAATGTCTTTTACATTGGTAGTCAGTGAGAAGAATGCTCCTTACATTGGTGGTCAGTGAGGAGAATGTCCCTTAATACACCAAACTAAAATGACTCAACCAGGACTCTATGGTTTTGATTATTTTATTAATACAAGCATAAATTAGTAAACAGATGGTCAAGAAACTCATAAACGACTTCTTTCATGAAAACATTATTACAAACATGAAAAAAACAAAATACATCACACTCCACAGATCTCACATTATTCCCCCTTACAGATGAACAGGACCTCCCTCTTACATTCATAGGGTCTGTCTCCTTATGGCAACCAACAGGGCATAGTAATGGAATGAGTAACAATTTCTTTGTTCAAAATAGTGCATGGGTTCTTTAAGATATCGACAGTTCAAGGCATCGGAGCAAGGTCAAAAAAAGTATTTGATACTTATCAAGCTGCAGCCATGAGTGTCCTCAGTGAATCTGGGAATGTGGAGGCGCCCTTCCTGAATAGTTTCCCGGGTATAACCGGCTACCTTAGATGTAGGCTTGGGTTTGTTTGGCTTGCTCAGATAAACTGAGCCCTTAAAATGGCCGCTGCGTACCCACTGCACATGCGCAGAACGTAATGACGTCACAATGATAACGTGCTGAGAATGTCCCTTACATTTGTGGCTGGTGGGAAGAATGTTCCATACTTTGGTGGTCAGTGGGAAGCATGCCCCTTACATTGGTGGTCAATGAAAGAATGTTCAATATGTTGGTGGTCATTGAGAATAATGTCCCTTACATTGGTGATCTCCTTAAGTTGGTGGACAGTAGGAAGAATGTCATTTACATTGAAGGTAAATAGGAAGAATGTCCAATAGGTTGGTGGTCAGTGGGAAGAATGTCCCTCAGTTTTCAATAGGAATAATGTCACTTACATTGTTGGTCAGTGGGATTCATGTTCACTTATGTGGGTGGTTGGTGGAAGAAAGCTCCATACACTGGTGGTCAGTGGGAAGAATGCCCTTTACATTGGTGGTCAGTGAGAAACATTTCCCCCTTACAGACAGTTGAAAATAGCAGTGCTGTAAGTGGTTACTTTACTATGAAGTGAGCAGAGAGGCTCCACTGTGCCTACACCAACTGTCTCCACCAAGTGAAGTTGCTTGAAGCCACCTCTGCAGAACCGTGCTTGAGCGGAGCTTTTGTAGAGTGATGGTCTATGTTGTGGATTCCACAAACTCTGCTTACAGAACAGAATTAGCTGGATTACTACGTTATAAAAAACTATTACAAACTTAAGTGGTGAATTTGCCCAGAGCGGCTTTCCAAATGGTTGAGATGATCAGGACCAGCCCTCCTCTATGGGGCCTGAACCCCATCAGTTCAACAGGGGGGCCCAGGCAGCTTTGTGGTGCAGGCAATTCCCCCTCCCTGCATCACAGCTAGCTTTTCCTCCTCTCCCTCCTACCATCAGCTGCTGCAGGAGGATCCACAGGGGGATCAGTTTCAGGGATTGGCCACCCTTTTGCCACTCTGATTACCCCCTCTCCTGTCCAGTACCCCCTTCATCTGCAAATCTGATCCCCCTGTATCCCCCCCATTTACTATGCTTCAATTTGTGAATGAACAAGGATCCTATGTAAAGATCGCTTTCTGTTCATTCATTCTGTAGCAGCTGAGGCTTAGGGATTTGTGTCCTAAAATCACTTTCTCTGTTGAAATATAAGGGATCTAGACAGACCCCTGATGTTTCACTTTTGAGACAAAGTCCTTCCCAGGGTTATAAAAAAATTGTAAAAAAATTATTTCAACATATCGTAGGGCTCTGGCCTCTTGAATGGGTGGTTTGTTCATGCAGCTGGAGCCTGTTCGGGAGCATACACCTGCATGCACCCACCGACCCAGGGTGGGGGAAAGGGGACTCTGTCAGGTAAGCTGTACGGGGCCCCATGATTTCTAACAGCAGCATTGGTCAGGTCTAGTGTTTCCCATGGTAAAAAAAAATAAAAACTACAAAATATTAATTCTGGGATTTCATAAATAGGTTTCAAAAACCTTACAAAAAAGGGAAAAACAGGTTTCCTCGGCGATGTTGTCAAGAGGGCGAAGTTAAAGATCTTCTTCTTTTGGCTTCCATTATCTCATATCTGAGTTCCTCAAACCACACTCATCTCCCCCCATCAGCGATCCTGGTGGAGGTATTTCAGGGGGGGGGGGGGGGATCAAGGAAAAGAAGATTGATATTTAAGAGTGCCCAGGGAAGGTTTGGTTTCTCGGTAACACAATCCAGGAATTCGGCTCACACAAACATCGAGAACAAAGGAATATTTTTAGAACTTAAAAGAAAGCTCTATGGGATTTCTGTCTTTACGAGAGCTGTAAAATAAAGGGATGTGTTACATAAAGTTGGGCTGATACTGTGAAAAAGCCACATTGTCCTCCTCAACAATATCCAGAAGTGTATATTGCATTGTGCCCCTAACAGGTATCCCCTTACAATGGGGCCATTGTCTCCAGACTGGAGGGAAACCTACACGGCGTGTTCCAATGTTAAGAACTTCAACAACAGACATTTCCCTGTTATCATGGGCCAAAGACTATATGATACTCCTTGTTGAGACATTAAGTATCTGAGAGGTGAGGGATGGCGGGACAATGGTGCTTTTGTCTAGAAACGGCTCAGGTGTTTGTTTTGTTTCTGCAATTTGATTTGTAGTGAAATCGGTAACATAACTTTTCCTGATAGATATATATATATATATATATATATATATATACATACATACAAAGTTTCCAGTGTTGAGTCTCAGACATACAAACAGAAGTAATCTGGTGCTGGTTGCAAGGGACATTCCAGTTGTGGGGGATACGAAGGAGGAGAGTAAGTTCACTGAAAATGGTTTTGGTACATAGCACGTTTGTTGAAAGGTTGGTAAAATTACCCAAACATTTTACGTCCAGATTCTTAGGGGTTTTTTTTTTTCCTTTTTTGCTTAAAAAAAAGAAAACAAAGCCATTTATTGACCATGTCAATTGGCACTTTATGGATTTACATACCTCCTTAGCCCCAGTCTGTTTGGACAATATACAGTGGGGATCGAAAGTTTGGGCACCCCAGCTAAAAATTTGTATTAATGTGCATAAAGAAGCCAAGGAAAGATGGAAAAATCTCCAAAAGGCATCAAATTACAGATTAGACATTCTTATAATATGTCAACAAAAGTTAGATTTTATTTCCATCATTTGCACTTTCAAAATAACTGAAAACAAAAAAATGGCGTCTGCAAAAGTTTGGGCACCCTGCAGAGTTTATAGCATTAACTGCCCCCTTTGGCAAGTATCACAGCTAACTTGGCACCATCCACAGGCATAGATGGCGGATAGAGGGAGATACCAAATCACATTCTGTAAGTAAACAGTTTTGTAGTGGCCCAAAATCTCTACTAGATGTAGAATAGTACTGAAAAATAATAACCTCGAGCAGTTCAATATAACACATAAAAATGCATGTAAGTAGGACAGACCATCAGCACTGACAGGGTCAGAGGCATAACTAGAACTTTCAGGGCCCCAGTGCAAGAAACCATGAAGGGTCCCCACTGGCCCCCCATCCAGGGCCCTTCCCTGCAAGCCTGGTGGCAGATCCCCAGGGCCCAGTCGCAAGTGTGACCTTTGTGACCCTGGTAGTCCCACCACTGGTGTCAGTAGCTTTTTATTTTTGGAATTTTTTACAATTTAAATTTTTATTATTTTTTTCAGCTTTTTTTGGAAGCCCTGTTGGAGAGGGTTTGGTGAAATATCAGGGATCTAATCTCCTTTCTCTGTCTCAATGTTGGAACATCAGAGGTCTGTTTAAAGGACACAGCCCTTAGTCTTTATCGCTGTAGCCTCAACTGTACAGAATGAATGGACAGGAATACAGTGCATCCAGAAAGTATTCACAGCGCTTAACTTTTGCCACATTGTTATGTTACAGCCTTGATTCCAAAATGAATTAAATTCATTTTTTTTTCCCTCAACATTCTACAAACCATACCCCATAATGACAACGTGAAAGAAGTTTCATTTTGAAATCTTTGCAATTTATTAAAAATAGAAAACAAAAAAAACCCACATGTACTTAAGTATTGCCAGCCTTTGCTCAATACTTTGTTGAAGCACCTTTAGCACCAATTATAGCCTCAAGTTGTTTTGAGTATGATGCTACAAGCTTGGCACACCTATTTTTCGGCAATTTCTCCCATTTTTCTCTGCAGTACCTCTCAAGCTCCATCAGGTTGGATGGGGAGCATTGGTGCACAGCCATTTTCAGATCTCTCCATAGACATTCAATCGGGTTCAAGTCTGGGCTCTGGCTGGGCCACTCCAGGACATTCACAGAGTTGGCCCGTAGCCACTCCTGTGGGCTTTGTGCTTAGGGTTGGTGTCCTGTTGAAAGATGAACTGTCGCCCCAGTCTAAGGTCCAGAGTGCTCTGGAACAGGTTTTCATCAAGGATGTCTCTGTACATTGCTGCATTCAACTTTCCTTCGAACCTGACTAGTCTTCCAGTTCCTGCCGCTGAAAAACATCCCTACAGCATGATGCTGCAACGACCATGCTTCACTGTAGGGATGGTATTGGCCAGGTGGTGAGCGGTGCCTGGTTTCCTCCAGACATGACGCTTGGCATTCAGA